AGCTCGATCGGAGAACATACGGCTGAGATATGCTTGGCGTGGTCACAAAAAATCAATAAATTTAGGGTTAAAAATTAACCAATTAAGGCTGCTAGTGCTTTAATAAGGTGAATTTCAATGGTTTTAGGGTTTTCAGACCCGCTGAAAACTTATAGCCAAGTTTCAGCTCGATCGGAGAACATACGGCTGAGATATGCTTGGCGTGGTCACAAAAATCAATAAATTAAGGGGTTAAAAATTCCCCAATTAAGGATGCTAGTGCTTTAATAAGGTGAATTTCAATGGTTTTAGGGTTTTCAGACCCGCTGAAAACTTATAGCCAAGTTTCAGCTCGATCGGAGAACATACGGCTGAGATATGCTTGGCGTGGTCACAAAAAATCAATAAATTTAGGGTTAAAAATTCCCCAATTAAGGATGCTAGTGCTTTAATAAGGTGAATTTCAATGGTTTTAGGGTTTTCAGACCCGCTGAAAACTTATAGCCAAGTTTCAGCTCGATCGGAGAACATACGGCTGAGATATGCTTGGCGTGGTCACAAAAAATCAATAAATTTAGGGTTAAAAATTCCCCAATTAAGGATGCTAGTGCTTTAATAAGGTGAATTTCAATGGTTTTAGGGTTTTCAGACCCGCTGAAAACTTATAGCCAAGTTTCAGCTCGATCGGAGAACATACGGCTGAGATATGCTTGGCGTGGTCACAAAAATCAATTAAAAAATCAATAAATTTAGTGTTAAAAATTCCCCAATTAAGGATGCTAGTGCTTTAATAAGGTGAATTTCAATGGTTTTAGGGTTTTCAGACCCGCTGAAAACTTATAGCCAAGTTTCAGCTCGATCGGAGAACATACGGCTGAGATATGCTTGGCGTGGTCACCAAAAATCAATAAATTTAGGGTTAAAAATTCCCCAATTAAGGATGCTAGTGCTTTAATAAGGTGAATTTCAATGGTTTTAGGGTTTTCAGACCCGCTGAAAACTTATAGCCAAGTTTCAGCTCGATCGGAGAACATACGGCTGAGACATGCTTGGCGTGGTCACAAAAAGTCAATAAATTTAGGGTTAAAAATTCCCCAATTAAGGATGCTAGTGCTTTAATAAGGTGAATTTCAATGGTTTTAGGGTTTTCAGACCCGCTGAAAACTTATAGCCAAGTTTCAGCTCGATCGGAGAACATACGGCTGAGATATGCTTGGCGTGGTCACAAAAAATCAATAAATTTAGGGTTAAAAATTCCCCAATTAAGGATGCTAGTGCTTTAATAAGGTGAATTTCAATGGTTTTAGGGTTTTCAGACCCGCTGAAAACTTATAGCCAAGTTTCAGCTCGATCGGAGAACATACGGCTGAGATATGCTTGGCGTGGTCACAAAAAATCAATAAATTTAGGGTTAAAAATTCCCCAATTAAGGATGCTAGTGCTTTAATAAGGTGAATTTCAATGGTTTTAGGGTTTTCAGACCCGCTGAAAACTTATAGCCAAGTTTCAGCTCGATCGGAGAACATACGGCTGAGACATGCTTGGCGTGGTCACAAAAAATCAATAAATATAGGGTTAAAATTTCATCAACAATTAAGGATGCTTAGGTGTTTTAATAAGGTGAATTTCAATGGTTTTAGGGTTTTCAGACCCGCTGAAAACTTATAGCCAAGTTTCAGCTCGATCGGAGAACATACGGCTGAGATATGCTTGGCGTGGTCACAAAAAATCAATAAATTTAGGGTTAAAAATTCCCCAATTAAGGATGCTAGTGCTTTAATAAGGTGAATTTCAATGGTTTTAGGGTTTTCAGACCCGCTGAAAACTTATAGCCAAGTTTCAGCTCGATCGGAGAACATACGGCTGAGATATGCTTGGCGTGGTCAAAAAAAATCAATAAATTTAGGGTTAAAAATTCCCCAATTAAGGATGCTAGTGCTTTAATAAGGTGAATTTCAATGGTTTTAGGGTTTTCAGACCCGCTGAAAACTTATAGCCAAGTTTCAGCTCGATCGGAGAACATACGGCTGAGATATGCTTGGCGTGGTCACAAAAATCAATAAATTTAGGGTTAAAAATTCCCCAATTAAGGATGCTAGTGCTTTAATAAGGTGAATTTCAATGGTTTTAGGGTTTTCAGACCCGCTGAAAACTTATAGCCAAGTTTCAGCTCGATCGGAGAACATACGGCTGAGATATGCTTGGCGTGGTCACAAAAAATCAATAAATTTAGGGTTAAAAATTCCCCAATTAAGGATGCTAGTGCTTTAATAAGGTGAATTTCAATGGTTTTAGGGTTTTCAGACCCGCTGAAAACTTATAGCCAAGTTTCAGCTCGATCGGAGAACATACGGCTGAGATATGCTTGGCGTGGTCACAAAAAATCAATAAATTTAGGGTTAAAAATTCCCCAATTAAGGACGCTATTGCTTTAATAAGGGAAATTTTGATGGTTTTAGGGTTTTCAGACCCCAAAAAAAAAAAAAAAAAAATTTAAACCAAAAAAAAAAAAAAAAGGGAAAAAAATTTGGTGGTCACAAAAATCAATAAATTTAGGGTAAAAATTCCAATTAGGTGCTAGTGCTTTAATAAGGTGAATTTCAATGGTTTTAGGGTTTTCAGACCCGCTGAAAACTTATAGCCAAGTTTCAGCTCGATCGGAGAACATACGGCTGAGATATGCTTGGCGTGGTCACAAAAAATCAATAAATTTAGGGTTAAAAATTCCCCAATTAAGGATGCTAGTGCTTTAATAAGGTGAATTTCAATGGTTTTAGGGTTTTCAGACCCGCTGAAAACTTATAGCCAAGTTTCAGCTCGATCGCTGGGAGAACATACGGCTGAGATATGCTTGGCGTGGTCACAAAAAATCAATAAATTTAGGGTTAAAAATTCCCCAATTAAGGATGCTAGTGCTTTAATAAGGTGAATTTCAATGGTTTTAGGGTTTTCAGACCCGCTGAAAACTTATAGCCAAGTTTCAGCTCGATCGGAGAACATACGGCTGAGATATGCTTGGCGTGGTCACAAAAAATCAATAAATTTAGGGTTAAAAATTCCCCAATTAAGGATGCTAGTGCTTTAATAAGGTGAATTTCAATGGTTTTAGGGTTTTCAGACCCGCTGAAAACTTATAGCCAAGTTTCCCAAAAATCAATAAATTTAGGGTTAAAAATTAACCAATTAAGGCTGCTAGTGCTTTAATAAGGTGAATTTCAATGGTTTTAGGGTTTTCAGACCCGCTGAAAACTTATAGCCAAGTTTCAGCTCGATCGGAGAACATACGGCTGAGATATGCTTGGCGTGGTCACAAAAAATCAATAAATTTAGGGTTAAAAATTAACCAATTAAGGCTGCTAGTGCTTTAATAAGGTGAATTTCAATGGTTTTAGGGTTTTCAGACCCGCTGAAAACTTATAGCCAAGTTTCAGCTCGATCGGAGAACATACGGCTGAGATATGCTTGGCGTGGTCACAAAAAATCAATAAATTTAGGGTTAAAAATTCCCCAATTAAGGCTGCTAGTGCTTTAATAAGGTGAATTTCAATGGTTTTAGGGTTTTCAGACCCGCTGAAAACTTATAGCCAAGTTTCAGCTCGATCGGAGAACATACGGCTGAGATATGCTTGGCGTGGTCACAAAAAATCAATAAATTTAGGGTTAAAAATTCCCCAATTAAGGATGCTAGTGCTTTAATAAGGTGAATTTCAATGGTTTTAGGGTTTTCAGACCCGCTGAAAACTTATAGCCAAGTTTCAGCTCGATCGGAGAACATACGGCTGAGATATGCTTGGCGTGGTCACCAAAAATCAATAAATTTAGGGTTAAAAATTAACCAATTAAGGCTGCTAGTGCTTTAATAAGGTGAATTTCAATGGTTTTAGGGTTTTCAGACCCGCTGAAAACTTATAGCCAAGTTTCAGCTCGATCGGAGAACATACGGCTGAGATATGCTTGGCGTGGTCACAAAAAATCAATAAATTTAGGGTTAAAAATTCCCCAATTAAGGCTGCTAGTGCTTTAATAAGGTGAATTTCAATGGTTTTAGGGTTTTCAGACCCGCTGAAAACTTATAGCCAAGTTTCAGCTCGATCGGAGAAAACTAATAGCCAAGTTTCAGCTCGATCGGAGAACATACGGCTGAGATATGCTTGGCGTGGTCACAAAAAATCAATAAATTTAGGGTTAAAAATTCCCCAATTAAGGATGCTAGTGCTTTAATAAGGTGAATTTCAATGGTTTTAGGGTTTTCAGACCCGCTGAAAACTTATAGCCAAGTTTCAGCTCGATCGGAGAACATACGGCTGAGATATGCTTGGCGTGGTCACAAAAAATCAATAAATTTAGGGTTAAAAATTCCCCAATTAAGGATGCTAGTGCTTTAATAAGGTGAATTTCAATGGTTTTAGGGTTTTCAGACCCGCTGAAAACTTATAGCCAAGTTTCAGCTCGATCGGAGAACATACGGCTGAGATATGCTTGGCGTGGTCACAAAAAATCAATAAATTTAGGGTTAAAAATTAACCAATTAAGGCTGCTAGTGCTTTAATAAGGTGAATTTCAATGGTTTTAGGGTTTTCAGACCCGCTGAAAACTTATAGCCAAGTTTCAGCTCGATCGGAGAACATACGGCTGAGATATGCTTGGCGTGGTCACAAAAAATCAATAAATTTAGGGTTAAAAATTCCCCAATTAAGGATGCTAGTGCTTTAATAAGGTGAATTTCAATGGTTTTAGGGTTTTCAGACCCGCTGAAAACTTATAGCCAAGTTTCAGCTCGATCGGAGAACATACGGCTGAGATATGCTTGGCGTGGTCACAAAAAATCAATAAATTTAGGGTTAAAAATTAACCAATTAAGGCTGCTAGTGCTTTAATAAGGTGAATTTCAATGGTTTTAGGGTTTTCAGACCCGCTGAAAACTTATAGCCAAGTTTCAGCTCGATCGGAGAACATACGGCTGAGATATGGTGGAGGAGGAACACGGCGTATTCAATTCAATTATTGCAAATGAGGGCCGTTCACATATTGAGAATTGTCTTTGGCTCCTTCTTGCAGAACACCTCGTATAATGATTTGTATGTACAACGATTCAAGCAGCACATGTCTGACGCCTTCATCTCTGAAATTTATCTTTTTTATTTCACAAATCTATTTAATTTGAAGTACATACGAGTTGGTTGGATTCCGTGTACACAGATCTTCTTCAGCACATTGTAGAGCTCAGTTCCGCAACGTCGTTCAGCGCGATCCTGTTGGGTGCCGGCGACGACGACAACGACGGCAAGAAGGATGAGAAGGAATTTCATTGCTTGATGAGAAGAAATGATTGGCACTCATTTCCTCTGATGCTTTTTAATAGCACCATGGGCGGAGTCAGAGAATGGGCGGAACTTCTAGGAATGCACGAATACAAAAAAAAATAAGGGATAGATGAATTGTTGGAAATACGCGGTTTTTGAACGAATAATAAGGAAATGAAATAGGCTGAAATATCAAGTTTAAATTGCTTAAATTTAAGGTTAATGCTTCGATATTTCCAAGTAAACAAAAACTATTGAATTTAAAATCGAAATGCGGCTGTTTTCAAAGTAAAAAAAACCGTGTATTTGGTCTTGAAGTAGTCGTTTTATTTATAGATAAACATATCGTCAAATAAAATTCGATTTGCATTATTGTACGGCGCAATGCCCTCATACCAATTTTTTCCATAAATGACATATTTATTTTTGATAGATTTATGTCTCTTTGTCGTACAAGAATATAGAGTGCAAACGTGCAAACGAATTAATAGAAAAAAAAAACATGCCAGGTGCTTTTCTCAAAATTTAGCGGCTATGAATATTGTAGAATATGCAAAACAGCTGCTTCCTAGGCTGAAAATTATAACGGCGAACAACAAAATTGAATGTCGAGTTATTTTTTATAATCCATAAAAAAATGGGATTTACCCTAAGCAAAGTGAAAATTTAAGTAAAATCGCTAGATTTACGGCGTAAATCTTTTGCTATGGTCTCACGCTGACAAATTCGTTATATTCACATTTCGGTTAGAAATTCAAGAAAATACGAAACTCATCAAAACGTAAATAGTCGAATGCAACAACATAAGTGTTCACATGTGGCGGGACCACTTTGAAACGCCCACATATAAATCTACCCGCGTAAAGCAGTCGCCGGAAGCCAGCAAATTTTTTCCCAATTTTTTATCGTTAAATATTTGCAAATTTATAATGTTTAGATGTAAAAATTTAATTTAATTTTTTCTAGTTGAAAATAAAACTTAAGAAACTCTAATTGGCAACTCGTTTTTTTTCGGAAATATTTTCATATAATATTCCCGTATACTTATTGAAATAAAATTTTCAGCATTACTGACCATTTGATAATAAAATTTCATTACAAGATTCTAATTTTCACGCTTACTTAATACAAATTTCTTTCCGCAATATAATTTTTTCTCAGGTTTCGCGTTTTCCGTGCTTATTACGCAAAACATTTTTTTGTTTCAGGAATTATTATGAATCGCTTGTTTTTTGTATACGTCCTACATTTTCGAATGACTCTTCTGTTGTCAGCACACGATTTCAGCATCTTCATTCGGTTGAGATTTCTTCGCGAAGCATTGCAAATTGTATTCAACAATACAAACAAATGTAGTTTTCAACACTGAAAAACAACAATTGAACTCGTGATATTACGCAGAATTTGTGCAAAGCACTTTCATATTTTTAAAGGGGGCGATTCTAAAAACTGAAAAAAAAGAATATCATTTAATTAATTAATATCATAAATTAGTAATTGCAAAATACTTTTCGTCATCAACATTTTTGCATAACAATTGGTTTCCATGAAGTGGCAAAATAATAGAATTTTCTGTTGTTATTAATTAGTTAAGTGCTTCATTGTTAAAAATATGGCTTGAAAAAAAGTGAGACTGTCATAATGCGGTGAGATATACTCGGCCATAATTTATCGAGCCACTTTATATGATACTTTTCAAGAAAAGAAGCAAAAATTGTGTGGGGGTAATACATTTTGAGGATGCTGCAAAACGGTGAAGCAACAAAAAAACAATGTCACATAAGCAGGAGTCTTCTAGAAGCACTGAAATTACATCTAGAAAATGCTTTTATGCGAACATTTCAGAGACTACAAAAATAATTGTAGAGAAACATTCATTGCTCAGTCCTCGCTTCTTTTAGCTGTAGCACATAAGCTATTTCAGAATCCTCGGTTTGCATATCCAGATACACATGGTCGGAATAAACATTTGAGTTAGCAAATATGTTGCCGAGGAGATTTTCTAGCTCTCATTTTCATAACAGCGGGCGATTTGAATGAACGTTAAAAAATGAGTGAATGTTGAATGACGAATTCCAATGCACAAAAAAAATAAATAAACACTAGCCAATTTAAGTTTTGGAAGCCGTAATCACCTCGTGATCAAAAAGCTTGAAAAGCTGTGGTTTGCGCCTGAACAGGCGAAGGACGAACCGACTAAGTGCCTAAGTAAGTAAGTATCAGGGTATGTGACAGCGGCCACCTCATGCTTATCATTTATCCTACTGAATTATTCTTTATGTTTGCACAAATTAAAAAAAAATCTAAAATTACACTATTACATGAATAAATTGCTTTAAAGCACTCAATGTATTTAAAGACATGAAAAATAACTTTGAAAAAATTTTTACAAGACGAATTTCGAACAATCAAAAAATAGATTAATAGTATCCACATTATATGTAGAAATCAGCAAAATAATTCAAATTTTACACAAATTTGCTCCAGTTTCACTCTGAAATGATTTTATCTTAAATTTGAAACAAATTGAATTTTGTAACTAACCGAGTTTTGGATCTTTGGCGATTGCTTCTTAATTGATTTCTCTTGATAATGTTGTTCGGCTCGGAATGACTGGTTCCACTAGAAAGTTTTGATTGTGAGAATATCAACGTGTTCTAAATAAGAATAATAAAAAATTGCAATTAATTATCAACGATCAACCTGATTTTTTTTCTTTTTTGCCCTCAACTATTGCGATTTTTTTGCCATTCAAACGCTGCATGATACTCATCATGAGATTCCTTCGAAGTACTTCGCGCTTTAATTTCGAGCCAACATTGAGGAGTTTCACTTCCAAATCTTGAAAATCTTCAAGAATTTGTAAAAAATAAATAGTTATATCCAAATGCGAGTTTGGGTAATAATACTCGATAATACTATCAATTCTCTTCCTGCACTTATCCGCCGATTTTTTGTCGGCAATTCTATTTGAGTTTGGCGTTATCCTCACAAATTTTTGAATTGCTTTGCAAATTCCATATTTCATGAATTCATAGTCGCTAAGACTATAAATAAACTTATAAAAGTTTTGAAATTTCTGCCTTTGAATGTTGGCCTTCGTTTTGTGCATAATAACTATACGTTTTCTCCGCATTTTTACATGAGGCACTTTTTTTCTCAACATTCTTTGGGGCACTTCCTGAAAAATAAAAAAGGTTTAATTTAAAATCAAAGAAAAATCAACACATAACATTCATTTTCTAAAATGAATGAGGGATGCGTGAAAATTCAATAACATAAATACAAGCCAAAAATGTAACATGCAACATGACACTATTCAGAATCACATTTGTATGCTAGAGAGTAGACGCTAGTTACCTAGCGTCATTCTATAGGCTTCAAACAGATAGAGATAATGACGCAATGGAAAATCTACGCTTTTCTTTAAATTGTTCTGTGGAATCCAATGGTTCACGCTCCTATTATTCACATATTTTATTCACTCAATCTCAAATTTAAACAAAATTATACCAAAATTCGTTAGAAGCGAATATCTTCACTAAACATGAACAATGTGAGGATAACACTTCACCTGATAAAAAGAGGGCAGTGCCTTAATGGAATGTCGTTTATTTAAAATGGTTTAAAAATTTGAAAATATAAGCAAGGAGATAATATTTTTTAACCGTCAAAATACATTTTCTCTGGCAATTATTACTATTTGCATTGCTCGTTGTTACTCAAACAAGTTCATTTACAAGAATTTATTGATAGGGTCACTTAAGGTGAACGAAAGAAGCATAATAATCAAATCCCTTGAGGTACAACAAAAAGTTGGCTAAATTTGAGCTTTCACGTTGAACAATATGACAAGATGAGCATGAGTAGTTGAGATGAAACGCTTCGATAATTAATTACTGAAAAATTGCAATGGAATATTCATTTTCAGAATATACCAAATTTTACCTCTTTTCTTCTTTTCTTCAATTCGTTTTCATTTGATGGGTCACACATTCTTTTTATTTGCCTGGCTTGCGAGGTTGTTTCTTCAATCTCCGGCAAAGACCACAAATCGTTCACAGTATTAGGCTCCTAAAAATTAATTTAGATTAATTTTAAAAATCTGAAAAAAATAACTGAAACCTGTCTTGCGTCTGAAGGCGACACGTTCAGAGATGCGTGGTTAGTGCGAGAAGTCGACGGAGAAATGAAGGAATTTGCCGAATGCCCAGCGAAATTGATCGATTCCTGAATAACGAAAGTAAATTTGTCTTTAATTTATATCCAGCCCAATAAAAATATTGAATTTATTCTTTTCAATTTTCGGCTCGCCGGCTCTTACCGATGGTTGGATTTGCTGAGCATTGATGTAATTCGATGGTTCAACAACTCTTAAAAAGAGAGTTAAATTATTCAAACGTTGATTTTAGTCATATAATACTTACCTAATTGGATAATTACGAGATTGTCTTTCCACATTGTTATTCGTTTGCGCAGAACTGGTAAAATCATAATCGGTCCGGACAGTGATAATTAAACAATCCAAAAATGTTTCCAGATTGGATGGAGCGTTCCGAGAAGTAGCCGAGTACTAAAATTTTGTAATTTTTTTTTAATCGGCTAGATTTTTCCTACCAATGGCTGATTCTGGACCAAATTAATTAGTTCTTGATCAAGTCTTAAAAGAAAAAAATTGTATATGTAGTAGGTGCACAATTGTCAAATTAGAATTATTAAAAAATTATATTTTCAGATCTTCGTTTATAGATTAAAAAAAACTCACCCAATGTTGTTTGGGACACTATGAGCATTTACCTCCATGTCATCATCAGATTCCATGGCAATTCTAAGATCCTCTAAGTAGCCAAAGTCCAAGCTTTCCCGACTTGATGATCGACTTCTAAAATTATAGAGCAAATAATGTCGTTGTCATTTAAAATGATTTCATACCTATGTTCAGCTTGATCACGAAACATACTTCTGCGGTGATCAGCATTATTATTCGATTTCGCTTCACCACTTGGAGCCATTTTCTAAAACATATTATACTTTAATAATTTAGGACAATCGATGAAAAATAATAACACGTGAAAATCAGATTTTATTTAGAAAACAAAACAGCACGAACAGGAGATTTTGACAATCTCTGACGTCCAACAAAAAATGCTCTTGACAAGTGATTATGTATTGGGGCCGATAGACAGGAATTTTCAAAACAAAATTTCACATGAAGATTCAAAAATTACGACTGACGCGTACATGTATTACACATATACATACATATAAAGAGCATATGCCAATAAATCATGTTTACACCAAATTTTTAGGAGACTGACAGGAGAGATAGAAAGCAAGGGGCAGGTGGTCGATCCACAAAGATAATATCAATGCCGCGAAATCGACGCCACAGGTCTTTCCAAATAGCTCCGTTCAAACGGAGTGTCGTAGCAAATTGCATTTTGCGCGCGAATTGTTTTCTCGCAAACAAATTGAATCATTATGTCTTATTCATCGCGTTGTTTTTTATTCTTTGTCAAATATTATCTCATAGAATGTCTATTTTTGTAATTTGTTGTTTCATTATTGATTTTTTTTTCAACGGAAATGTGATGAATTCAGAATCAATCGAACACGATGTCGCCAGGCGAAAAAGCTAACTCGAACAAAAATCGTGAAAATCGCAGCGACATGATCCGTGATCAAGCCGATAACAGGTATGAAAAAAATTCGATTCATGCTGACTTATTCACAAATTTAAAACATCAATTTTCGAAGTAAATGTCAAAATTGAGATATTATTTCAGAAGTCGATCAGCAAGTCGGGAAAGCTTGGATTCTGGCTATTTAGAGGATCTTAGAAATGCTATGAATTTGGATGAAGACATGGAGACAACTGCTCGTAGAGTTTCATACAATATTGGGTAACCTTTATCATATACATATAATTATAAAAATAATTGTTTGATTATTTGAATTAAATACATATATATGCAGATAGCTTTAAGATCAATTTTTTAAAGATCCGATCGAGAAATAGTAAACCCCGTTGAGCAGCACAGTCAGCAATCGGTATGAAAATATGTTTTAAAGATGAATCAGCAGAATTGCAATATTTAGAGAGCAAATTCACCCCAGGACAATGCGAATCTTCTTATGGAGACTGCTTTATCACGTGCCCGACAAGAAAGGATTGATATGATTCGCGCTTCTCAATGCATTTGTAACAGGTAAGCCTTTAATATACGTTTAATTTTTGGGATGCCAAATCACAGTTCATTTAATTGCCAACAAGATGAGAATGTAAATTGCTGTTAAAAAATTTCGATTTTAGAATATTTATATAAAGCATATATATTTTAATATCAGAAATATTCATTTACAATTTTAGCCTTAATCAACAAGAAGATACAATTGAAGATCAGCAACCGGTAAGAAACAACGAACAGAAAATTTATTATCATTTTACTTAAGACCAGCCCATCTTCTCATAATTCGCCTGACCGCCAGGGAAACCAACGTGGTGTGTCTCTCAACGAACTAGATAATTTTATTGAGAACGTCTCCGTAAGAGTACGCCGTCTTTGGGATCCTTCCGAATCTCCACGCTCGCGTCCATCAACTTCAAATCCACCGGTAAGTCGAATTAAAACTTAAAATAGATTCTGGAAATGATCGTTTGCGTTATTCAGGAATCGAACAATTTCGCTGTGCATTCGGCAAGTTCTTCCATTTCTCCGTCGACTTCTCGCACTAACCACGCATCTCTGAACGTGTCGCCTTCAGACGCAAGAGAGGTTTCAGCTATTTTTTTCCAGATTTTTAAAATTTATCTAAATTAATTTTTAGGAGCCTAATACTGTGAACGATTTGTGGTCTTTGCCGGAGGTTGAAGAAACCACCTCGCAAGCCAGGCAAATAAAAAGAAAATGTAAACCATCAAGCGAAAACGAAATAAAGAAAAAAAGAAAAGAGGTAAGATTTGGTATATTCTGAAAATGAATATTTCATTGCAACTTTTCAGTAATTAATTATCGAAGCGTTTCATCTCAACTACTCATGCTCATCTTGTCATGTTGTTCGACCTACTATCCAGCTCAAATGTGCCGAAATTTTGTTGCTTTTGTATAATTTATGTCATTTCCTGTTTTAACTTTTAACTTAGTTCATTAATTGTGTTCTAACTTTGTGTCTCAAAGAATTTGATTATTCCGTTTGTTTCATTCACTATAAGTGATTTACATTTTCTAATTGTTTATTTTCTGTACTGAAAAAAGTCGCAATTGACTGAAATAGTTAGAATACAATTTGGCTCACAGAGCTCGGTTTGTCAATAAATTCATGTAAATGAAATTGTTTCGAACTTGACGGAAAAACATTTATCTTACAAATTGTGGTTCTGAATCTCATTATATACCTTGATCATTGCTCTTTCCTAGTTTAGTCTGTTTAAGATCAGTGCTCAAAATGATTGAAAATTAATTCGATCATCATAATAGCCAAACAATCCAAACTGTTTAAAAGTATTCGTTACAATTTTTATCAATCGATACAAACATTCAACGATTTCGCAAGTCCAGCATGAATCATCGATTTTCTCGGCCCTGCCCGCTTACGATCCCTGTGTTATTGTAAACAGGCAGGGCGGACCCTCTGTCGAATACTCCGCCCATTCGCGCAAGATAGAGTCCGTCACTCATTGCCAGTTACTCATGTCATATTGTTCGACGTGCCATTCCGCTCATATGAGCCTAAATTTTTTTGCTTTTTATAATTGATGTCATTTTCTGTTTTCTTTTCTAGTTTGATTCCTAGCATTAATTGTGTTCTAATCGACTAAGAACATATCGTTTTTTTTTCAAATCTCTATAATCAATGACAAATCTTAAAAGAGCGAATTTCTTCGAATTTTGCGTGCTCAACACATTTGTTTACATTAATAAACATCAAAGAAGCGGCACCGCCGCTGACGCCATCTCATTTCCTCTGTGAATCAAAACGCGCGCGAGCGGTATTTTTTTCGAAATTTCGGCATTGTTTTGGTGGATTGCTGTCGGATTTTTCAAATTTGAATTTTTTCGCGCTCTCGAAAACAATAGCAGTTTGAAAGGATGACGCGACAGATGGTGGCATTTTTGACAACAAAGAAGCTTATTGAATTTATTGTCCGAGAGTTGTCTGTGGAAAAGTAAGCAGAAATGAGTTTTGAGGAAATATACAAAATATTATTTTGTGGTTCTCAATCACTTACTTCACTTAGTCACTTAGTCGGTTCGTCCTTCGCCTGTTGAGGCGCGAACCACAGCTTTCCAAGCTTTTCGGTCCTTGGCTTGGGTGGACCAGGGCGTGATAACGGCTCCTTCAGCTGTTCTTGTAGTGATCTCCTTCCGAAGCGAGTCAGACCATCTCATGGGAGGCCTTCCTCTTTGCTGGGTCCAATTCCACGGCCGCCACTCCGGTAGAAGAGTAATCCATCTTCCATTTGTTCTTCTAGCAACGTGTCCAGCCCAGGTCATCTTCCTCTTCGTGATGTGGTGTAGGGGGTCCCGAACTTTAGACATGATGCGGATGTCCTCTCGATGAAGATCTTGTTCACGTTGTAAGCAGAAATGAGTTTTGAGGAAATATACAATATATTATTTAGTAGCTCTCAATCACATAAAAATTAAATATAATGCGTTGGCAATTGTTTTTAAGAAGCTCGACATTCGGAAGAAGAGCGACGGAATTTACACAAAAAATCACCTGGATTGATTTTTAAATGTTTCTATCGGGTTTTTCTTTCTTTTTAAATCCCCCCTCCCCTACATCAATGAGAACTTTAAAAAGAGCAAATGTTTTCTAGTTTTGCGTGCTCAATACGTTTTTTATATCGATATTTGGAAAACTAGCTGCGGAAAATCCAAAAAAAAAATCACCTGGAAAGATTTTTGAATGTTTTTTCGGTTCCTGAAACGAAGCAAGCAGAAATTTCCAGTTTTGTTAATTTTGAAGCCGAGCTCGGCCTTATCCGGGCTAAAGCAGAGTATTTAAATTGGCGTGCTTAGACAACCGAGAATTGGCCGCGTTGCGCTGGTTTCGCGGTCGGCGTCGGGTTTAGACAACAATTTCGAGCCGTCCGAAGCACGGCCGACTATTTTTGATTGCGGCGTAAACATGTTTGGATAGCGGCCGATCGGTCGGCCGGCCGAAATTATAAGCGTGGGAAAAATACAATTATGCTATAATTATCACTAATTATTTTGTGTTTTTGTTGTTTTGTTTTCATATTTTCGACAAATAAATTCGATTTACCGCCAATTTTGACTCAAAAACAGATATTCCAAACATATTCAAATTGTTTTCTTTCCGCCGCCGGCTTCATAGATGAATTTGCTCAAAACATATTTACAATTTTTTCAATAAGTTGTTGATTCATAATCAGAGGAAATGGAAACGGTATATTTTCGTAGCGCCGTCGTGTCCCTCTTCGTCTTATTCTGGGAGGAGACGCGGCGCGTTCGCGAGCGCGGCTCCCAATTCGTATAAAACAGACGCTTACACCCGTTGTAAATCAGTTGCCGCCCCTTCTCGACTAGCTGGCATGACAATGCACAGCTGGATTTTTGCTGTTTCTTTTTTCTATATCATTTCTTTCCGATTACTTTCCTCCATCATCTTCCTTCATTAAACATGTTCTTTTTTCACGAATTCCATCAAGCTTCTCACTTTAACCAAGAAATTTCTTTATATTTTTTTTCAGATAACTTTCTTGCTTTGACGTTCGCTAAAAATGGAGTCAACCACCCCGATTACCGAGGAAGCGATGGACATTGACATCCAGGTATTTTCTAATTTTAATTAATTTCCAAACTGATCCGAAAATTTACAGATTCGTGAGAATGCGAATAATTCTGTTGAGATGGCGAAGATCGCTGAAGTCGAAATGGCAACTGAGAAGCCGGACGACGCCAAGAGTTTCGTAGAGGAGATGGAGTCCGAGGAAGCGAATATGGCCGACGAGGAGGCGACCGAGGAGACGGAACATGCGAAAGAGACTTTGGCGGTCAAGAACCCATCCGAGCCGAAGGAGTCTGACGAAGCGGATATGGCCGACGAGGAGTCAACCGAGACGAATCAGATTGCGAAAGAAATTCCTGCAGTCAAGAACTCATCTGACACGAAGGGGTCCGAGGATGCCGATATGATCGACGAGAATCCGACCGATGAGGTTGACCCGGCAAAAGGGTCTTCGGCCATCACGAACCCATCCGAGCCGAACGAGTCCGGGGAAACAAATATGACCGACGAGAAGCCGAACGAGGAGACTGAGGATGCGCCGGAGCAGAATCCATCCGATCCGACGGAGTCTAACGACGCGGTCGTGGCCAACGTGGAGCCGACCAAAACGTTTTTGATCGAGCAAGCGATTGCTCGCATCAAAAAAGAATGGGTCGATGAGAACGGTGGGCCATTTATTTTCCATTTCGCAGCAAAATTTAAATTTGAAAATCCGTGGTTGCGTTTTCGAATATTCGAAAATGTGCTATTGTTCTCATTCCATTGTGGCGCAAGAGATGTGAACAAAGACGAAATTTTCTAGAACGCGACGATGTCTTGCGTATTACGCGGCGGCACCTACCTTTGATTCATTAAGAGCAGCCTGAAAAGCTGCCAGCGGCGGCATCGCTTCTTTGATATTCGAAAAACAAAAGATTTGCGCGCATAACTCATTGCAATTCGTTTCCTTATATGAGATTGACTTACCATTTGAAATTACGAGCTTAATTAGCTTTAAAGACTGACTTCAATGGGACTATAACTTAAAGAAATATTCAATAAAATCTTTTGAATACGAACATTTCCTGCTATTGAAATTTCGTGAGGGCCTGTTACTAAGAGAAAATGACAGTAAAATTGTTTTCATTGCTTTCAAACATCTCTCACATCAAAAACAAAATTTTTCAAGGAGGGCAATTTTACATTAATCTCTCATTGTTCCACTGAATTATTGTATTTTGCTTCCAAATGATTCTTTTCCAGGTATGAGCAACATGCCTCGCACCACCGTGCGTTGTGAAGCGCTTTGGGATGATATATTAAGAAGATTGCTAGTGGTTAGTCATAGAATCGTAAGTATTTTAAAATAAGAGATAACTGCATAATTGTTTTCTGTAAAGAACCTAAAAAATCGCAATCTGCTTTCGGTTGCTCTGCTCGACATTGTTCACGTGTTGGAGGCAATTTTCGACAAAATCCTCGATCTCCGCACCGAGTGTGTGAATCTTCAAGCTCAAGACGTTCGACGCCATCCGCATCACAACTTGGCCGCGGTAAGATGTTTTTTTCAAAATTGGAAGTCGTTGAGATTATCAAATCGGCAGAGAGAAAATGGGAGAGAGATGTTTTTTTTCAGGAGAAGACCAGATGGTGCGAACATCTTATCCATATCCTCGATGTAAGCGCTCCAATCACTGCTCGCATTGTGCCAACTCGTGACTGAATCGTTTCTCATTGTATTTCACACTAATTCATTCTCATTTATTGTTTACAATTTCACTTTATTTTGAATAAATTTACTCTTGTGTTTTCAGCATTGCTATCCGGGTTCTTAAGAAAGCGAGTGAGCAATCAAGCAATTGCTATAAATAAAGCAGCTCCCCTGTTAAAATTTAGAATACCGATATCAAAAAAAGGTGGCGTTAAATACTTTTGAACATGTCTCTGGTTCAAGGGGGTGGGGTTAGATAGCATAATTGGACTGCGATAATAAGAGATAATTTGGTTTTATTCTTAATTTTATTTTGGCTGTTTTACTTAATAGCGCGACGAACATATACAGTATTGTAAATATATAGTAGCATTTACACGATTACATTGAACCATAAAAGGAATTATTGCACACCTTTAAGTTTCGGCAAGTTTGGAGATGAGAAGTTCCTCGAATTTCAATAATTGGTCATTTGTTACATTGTCCATGATATTTTCAATATGAACTTTCACAAAAGTACAAGCAGGCTTATAAGCCTTATCTTTTCTATGAATAGGCGCTAATTAGTATAGGATTGTTATCGCCGGAATTAAAACACAGCTTTCGGGTTAATAAAACTTTTGCACTATTTTTTCATCTTGGGTAGAAATCGAAGGGGTCTGAATACAAGATATATTATTATTATATATCGCATTAATTTAAATAACAATTTTTTGTTAAATTTAAAGATTTTCAACTGTTCTAAAATCGCGAATATCTCCAGAAATGGTTTCAATTAGAAAAAATATGCGCATTTATTATTAGTTTCATGTTACATTCACAAAATTCAACAAAAAATAATTATTTAAAAAATTTCGTCATTTTCACGAAGTGGAAACAATTTTTTCCACAAAACTATATACAAACTACATTTTTTTCGTATATTTTCGTATTTTCAAACTTTTTTGCAATTTTACAGTTCTTAAGTCATTCCTCGTGAAAAGCCGCTCGCCGACTTTGAAAAAGGTGAAATTGAAGCAAAGCTGGCTCAAGTTCTTTCTTATCGACAGATTGGGAATGAACTCGGACGCACTTATAATGTTACTAGCTGATATGCTAAAAATTCAGCCGCGTATGGTCAAAAAAAGTTGACAGGAAAGTTCCTTCACTGCTTTCGGACCGTGATAAGCGCAAAATTTGGCGGAGTGCGTCAAATTCGGCCGTGTCGGGCTAAACGATTCGAAGAAAATTCAATCGCATGGTGTCAAATCAAATCGTCCGGAGTGTATTATCAAAGAGCAACTTCATCAAACACAGGAATATGAGGAAGGCAGCAATGTTGACTCGAATACATCGTGAAAAACTACTGGTGTTTGCAAAAAAGAATCAAAGAACTGACTGGAGAAGAGTAAGAATAACTGCAATGTTCATTGAACTTGTTTTCTTCCATCGGGTAGTGCTTTCTAATGAACAACAGTTCAATTGTGAAAGGGCCAAATGGTTATCATGGCTATTTGCACGATTTGAGGATGAGAAGCTGCGGTTATTGCGTAGAAACTTCAAAGGAAGAGGAGTCATGAGGTGGGAGGCAATCAGCTCGCATGGAAGAGTCAAGTTGTGCTTCTGACTACCGATAAGTCATAAGACATGGTCTGTTGCCATTTTGGCGTCGTCACGAAAATTACTCTTTCATGCAAGATGGAGCCCCTTGTCATCGCGCTCGCCGCACAATCCAGTGGATACGCAACCGTAGAATCCCAGTTCTCGACTGGCCAGCCTGTTCTCCAGACATAAGACCCATCGAAAATGTCTGAAGATTTATGATGTAGAAAATTTACAATGGCAACAAGTCTTTTCGTTTTATTTCGGAACTCAAAAGGCAATCGTGGAAGCCTAGAAGCCTGTCGATCAACAGCTTCTTGACAACCTTTATTTATCAATGAACTGTCGAATTTTTGACGTAACGCAACTCAATGGAGGTCCAGTTAATTATTAAAAGTTCATTTTCTTTCAAATTTTCACTTTCGATCCCTTTTTCAGGATTTTTATCAAGTGGGTATATAGTTTTGTGGAAAACATTTTTCCACTTTTTCGTGAAAATGACAAAATTTTTTAAATTGTTATTTTTTGTTGAATTTTGTAAATGTAACATGAAACTATTAATAAATGCGCATATTTTTCTAATTGAAACCATTTCTGGAGGTATTCGCGTTTTCGAGTTATTTGACAAAATTGGGGTGGGTATATAGTTATGTGGAGCACTATATATATATATATATATTATGACTTCAAAACTATTTATGTCTTCGATTCAGAAATATTATAAATGCTTTTATGATGTTTCTTCGCTTTTCCAGGCATTTCAAGAACAATTCCTACAATTTGAAAATTGATTGAATAATCATTTTCAAGAGATGACGCATTGCTTTCATATCGAATTCTCTATGAAAATAAATATTTGACGATTTCGCAATGCAATGATTCTTGATCCGCCCACTTTCAATCATATGTGTTAAAAATGGGCGGGCTGGCTTGTTCCTATCTGAGAAATGTTCTATTCACTTCAATATTTCATCATGTTGGCGACAAACTGTGGTGCACCGCAATTAAGTTAGCTTCTCTCAACATGCGATTTAATTTTCTTTAATGGTATGCTCTTCATCCAATTAATTATATGATTTAATTTTATCCTTAACAGCTTGTACAAAGCTAAGTTATATGTATTATTCTGAATGCATTTTTGACAACTACTAGATGTCATAACTGAAAAGGAAAAATCCAATGGACATCGAATGTCGATTCTGATCAAGTATGTTAACAATTTTTTATAACTTTTGAAGTAGTGTTTGAAATTGCAATTTAAAAACTAAAAGCTATTCCAAAATTTGTTGCGTCATTGCAAATTATGAGAAACTTCGCCGAAAAATTCAGTTTTCATCAACATAATTTCCAGATGTTTGGAGACACTATCCTGTAACCAAGCTTGCAATGATTGCTGTGCAATCAAGAGCTATTTCTGATCAATAAGCCAAAGAAATTTTTTTGGGCAAAATTATCGACACCCTCATCGTAAGTCAATATTTTTTTTGCATATTTTCAACAAATTTTTCACATTTTTGGATCGGAATTAAAACGAAATGAGCGCCATATATCAGGAACAATGTTTTGATTCATATGACGCATTTGACGATTTCGCAATGTTGGCATGAATCCTTCCTCACTCCTCTAGCCATCAAGTGTGTCGATGGGGCGCCATTGCTTTCTTTTCCCTGGCGAATATTTTGCCTATTCCATTTTTCGTCACGTTGGCGACTAACTGCTATGCGGGTTTATACCAAATATTTTTTTTAGATTCACTAGTTGCTTTTCTAAATAATTTAAGGTGCGTTACTCAATCAATTCATCCGGGGTTTTATTTTTTTTCAGTTTTCCTTGAGAAAATCCACCAATCGAATTTTTGAAAAGTGTTCAATAAGTAACGAGACTACTCGTCATCAAAGAAGTCGTCGCCAAATAAGTATGTTGATTTTAAAAATGAAAATTTGAATCGTTTTAGAATATATGGTTAATTTGGCGCGAATCAAAAAATTCTTGGATATTTTATTTTTGTGAAACTTCTATAATAATTTTCTTTAGTTTTAAAACACACGCATTTGTTCAAAAATCTTAACATTTTCAAAAACGATATGATTACTTTAAAACTATTTTCAGAGGTGCTGACGAAGAGAGAAACTATCTTGTAACCGAGCTTGCAAGTTATTGCAATCAACTACACGTGTGGTCCTTAATGTCAGATGAAGACGCGATGAGAAATATGTGGAATAATAATTTATCCTTCAGTGCCGTTACATAATATTTTTCTATTAATATAAAATATATTTTCCAAAAATAAAAAAAAAAAACGTAACATCGCATGTGTATATAAAATTTTGCGTCATTTCCAGTGTAAGAGACTGAAATGCTGAAAGACGAAAAAACACAAGTGTAGGCGGCACTTACGTTAGTGGTGTTTTCCGGCTTTCTTGCTCCGCTCGTTATGAGTTTATCGCTTAAATAGGGGCGAGTGTGTGACATCGATAAAGATAAGTTAATTTTGCTTCAAGAAAAGCAGCATTGTTATTGGACGATGATTCGCTTATTATAAAAAGAATTGAAACCCACAGGCTACAAATAAGGTAAAAATTATAAAGACTCTTATAACAATTCATTTTTCATTGCATTTCAAGCAAATTGGTTGATTCCACGTTGTAAAGCATCAAATTCTGACCATTCACTTTTTTTGGATCATCGAATTTGATTCAGAAACAAAAAAGTTAGAGCTCTAACATAGCTCACTATCACTCTGAAAATGCTCGAATTCTTATATGCGATTTCAGCCTTGGCGAAATGTGCCAGTGTGGTGTAGTGGTTAAAATGTGCGATCATTGATCGTGGATCGTGGACATCTACACCGGCACGTCCCAATGATGGATGAGTCCTCGGGCCAAGAGGTGGTAACGTGGCACACCAACATGTACATAAAATATGATTAGACTATAACCTAAGGGGATGACTGAGGGACCTTTTGCCTTTTTGGTCCCTGTTTTCTGTACACGTGGGGTCGTGGGTTCGAGTCCCCCTTGCGCAAAATATTTTTGCGACTGTGAAAACTTAGGAAATGGTTGTTAATTGTGTCAGGAAGGCCCACAGCAAAATTTTAAGCCGAACATGCATAGGGGTGTCCTAGGGGGGGTCCGAATTCGAAAATATTGAAAATTTCAGAAAATCATCCTAGTGGTCTGGTATTTCAGGAAATGTTACTAAAACGTGTCAAAAATGTTATAGGGGGGTTCTAGGGGGTCCGAAATCGAAAATTTTGAAAATTTCAGAAAATCATCCTAGTGGTCTGCTATTTCAGGAATTGTTACTAAAACGTGTCAAAAGTGTTATAGGGGGGTCCTAGGGGGTCCGAATTTGAAATTTTTGAAAATTTCAGAAAATCATCCTAGTGCTCTGGTATTTCAGGAAATGTTACTAAAACGTGTCAAAAGTGG